TTCTAGAAATAAAAGTTCTGTGGAAATAAAGCCTTATTATTTTGAGACTTTATTTTCTAGGCCTTTTTTCTGGTTACCTTATGATTTTAGATTAAAAAGTCCATGAAAAATTCATGAGTGAAACGTAGTAAACAAGGCACAGCAAATTTTTGTAATATTGGGGTGAAAACTAGTAATTTTAGCTGAAATGTTATGTTATGCAGAATATTTTCTAATTTGTCAACAACAAAAGTAGTATTAGCTTGATGTTACAGGGAAAACCGATTTTCCCTGATGTTTCATACAGACAGTGGACACACAGAAAGGTTTGATAATTTAGTTTTAGCTCAAAATTTTACAATATTGGATAACAGATATGTTGATAATTTTGATATTACTGCTAATGTTCGGTGTTCACTGATTTTGAATTGTCTAGATTAAATACTGAAACTGAGGCAATGGTTCTGCAGTATTAAAGAATTGAATTGTTGATACATACTGGAACATATTTGTTACATTATATATATGTAGTAATATCTCAATTTTTCAAGAGAAGATTATACCAAGCAACTTATTAAAAGGAAAATTTGTATTTAACATAAATATAGATTAGCGTAAATTAAGATTTCAGAAGTGAAGTTTAGTCATTTTACTGCACAATAAATAATTTTAGACAGCACAATAATGCCTTCATGCATAATCTGTAAAACAAGGAATGCAGAATTTGTGATACCAAAAAATGTAGATCTTCGAAATATATCTCTTAGTCTTCACTTTTGTATTTTGACAGATTTAAGAGTGGTTGAGAACTAAGACATATTTTTAAAGATATTAAGAGATGGCGTATTCACTATTCAGGTTTTTTTCCCCAGGAAGGGCTTACATTTCTTTTTCTTTTTAGGGGTTATGGCAAAATTACTAACCTAAAAAGCATATATTTCACTGATCCAGGAGGGGGATGAGCCCCCTGAGCCTCCATGAATACGACTCTGGATAATAACATAGATGTGTTTAAAAAAATTACAAACATATTTCGGAATGGAGTGAGATTTCGAACAAAACTAAGCAGTTTTAAAGTTTATTATATCCATTTTTCAAGGGCTTTTCAAATATATAAATTTTAGCCCTGTAGCTTAATCAATCTTTTTGAAACACCGACCTGCCATTTGACTGTCCTCTACCTATATAATCTATGATTTGTGAAATTTTTCCACAACATTTAATGTTGAAAAAGTTCTAATGTAAGTCATTTTTCATATTTAAACATCAAACATGGGATTTAGAGGGGAAAGGGATAAGGTTCACAAACAGAAACATCCTAAAAAATATTCAAATTTTTGTTGAATGAAACACATGGAAATTCATTGTCATTTATAAAAAAGAAGATGTTTTTGGAAAAATTCTACTCATGACACATTCAAATATTGAGTTAACAATTTTAATGCATGTATTTCAGGTAAAGCATGTCATATAAAATTACTAGCTTGAACAATTTGTGATACCAGATAACATTTTATAAGGTGTCCTTTAGTCTTTGTAGTACAGGTTACATATTAAAAGATTACAAATAAATAATTGCCTTTATGTCAAATAAAGACTTCTGCCAAAGTTTATACATTATCAATCATAATTTAATATTTAGACAATATGGGTCCATTATTCAGTATTCATTGTCCAGTTTATAAATGTTTTTCTACACATTTAAAGAAGTTTGCTCTTCAGGATATCTTCTACAACCTGTCTTCTCCTCCTACCAGTTGGAGCATTAGTAGCTGTTGGAGCACGGGTAGTCATTGTTGTAGCAGGAGTAGTGGTTGCAGGAGCTACAGTTGTTTCAACTACAGAAGGTGGTGCACAGGTGTCAGTAGCACATGATGGAGCAGCAACAATATCAGCTGCTGATGCCGTACTTCCTGTAGCCTCTGAAAAAGGTAGTTTTCAATATAAAGAATTTAGTTATAAAACAAAACAGAAATAATTTCAAACTAAAAATAGCTTACGTAGTAAGGTTGCTTGAGCTGCAGCTACTTCAGAAGCAATAGCTGCCAGAGCTGTTTCAAAACTTGCAGCTGACTCTTTCAAGCTTGCTTTTTCAGCAGCTGAACAGGAAGCTGTTGTGGTAGAAATTGAAACAGCCAATAGTGCTACTCTGGGAGATGCAGGTGCTTGTCCAATAAGTACAAGTAGTTCTGCAGATATTGAAATGATTTCTGCACAACTGGCAGCTGGTGCTTGTCTTGATACCATCTGTCTACTATTTATGATTGCATTGATCTTGTCCTTTGCTTTGGTGACTGCATCTGTGTTTGCTGCTAAACTCTTTAGTTTACTTTTTAAACCATCAGTACTCACACTGCATGCATGGATAGCTCCTGCAACTTCATCCTCAAACCTACGGCAGTTTGAAAAAGCAGCTTTACATAATGTAACTGCAGCAGCCATAGATTTTGCTTCCTCAACAACTAAA